AGATGCCTGGGCCCTACTCAAGGGAACCGGGGAGTCACTGTGCCAGGGCAGCAGCATGCTCCTCATGGCACCGGTCGGCAAACCGGGCCAGCCGGCCCTGCCTGGCCTGGCCGAGGAAGGCGGCCAGGGAGGGCAAGGCGTGGCCGGGACTGTGGAAGAGCTCAGCATACTCCTCCCTCAGCCCAGCCATGGAGAGGGTGCTCCATGGTCCACCCCCTCTCTTGATGCCCCTTGATCACGTGTGCCCCCTGCCCAAGGTCTGCTCACGCAGCCTATCATAGCGGGGTGACTGTAACACACTGGCCCTGCTGCTGCTGGCCTGCATGAACACGAATTTGCAGCAGTACAGCTGCCGGACTATGCTGAGGTGTTGTTGGAGGGCATGGATGCAGTACGGCTGCATGACAGCGCTGCGATGCAGCTGCATCGCACCTGCCCAGAAGCTGGGGCTGGGGCAGCAGCAGCAAGTGCAGGCTCAGCGGCAGCAGCGGGACGTGGGTGGGGCGGGCGGCAGCAGCAGCCCCTGCAGCATGAGCAGGAGCCGCAGCAGCAGCGGACGAGTGTGCTGGCATGGCACACCAGCCCGGGTCTCTGAGCTATGGAGCAGATTGGTGCCGCGACCCCATGGCTGCTGCGTACATGGAGGCCGCTGCTGTACCCGCTGACGTGGCGCTGCCGGCTTGTGGTGGTAGAACGGCGGCAGCTGCGGGCACGGTGAAGGAGGCACTTGGAAGCAGCGATGGCAGCAGCAGTGGCGGCGGCGGTGGGCGGGACGGCACTACCTAGCTGGCGGCCAACGCCTCGTTCTACGACCGCCAGGCTGTGAGCAGCCAAACTCTGGAAAACCAGGCCTGCTTGCTGTACTGTGCAGACACCCAACTGAGGCGTAAGAGGCAGGCAGGCAGGCAGGCAGGCCACATGCGACAACACTGGTCACATTGCTCACAGCAATGCCTGGAGGCCTCGATAGCTTGACCCGCCATCTCCCCAGCTGCCGCCTCCCCCTGTTCCCCAGCCGACTTCGCACCAGCCTCAGGGTGGCCCCCAGGCAGATCCAGCTGACGCCTTCCAAGCAAGCGGGCGCACTGCGCAGGCGGTACCAAGACGAAGGCACAGCTGATGCAGCAATCGGGCGGACGCGACACACGCAGAACACCGACACAAGCAGAACACGGAAGCAGCTCGACTCCCGCACATTCTGCGCAGCAAAAGTAAGGTTCCTGACTTGCAAAGGGCCAGCCGCAGGGGTCGTGGCGGCGGCTGCAGCAACGGCAGTGCTGCTCAGCGCTATGTGACTGCGCAGCGGCAGGCAGGCAGGCAGGCAGGCGGCCAGCGTAGGTCAGGTGGCGGCTGCACGATCCCGGCTGGATTGCCACTATTTTCATTCACGTTTTATTCACGGGGTCGGGGCATTGGAAAACCCGTTCAGGAGGACTGGGAAGAGCCCTACGGCCACTTGGGGTACACACCTTGAGGTACACACTTGATTCTCCCCGCGTCCCGCCTAAATAGGCGTCTTCTTCTGCCCTGTGGGATAAACGAGTGTTCGGTCACCAGTGTATCTCACGCTAGCGAAGGCAATTGTCCATACACAGGTTTTCCAGGTGCGTTTTGCGAGGCTGCGCCTCCGGTGGCTGCTCGATGTCGGTTTGGTGCGGGGTGTGCGACAATGCATCGTGGACGTCATGCCTAAGGGCGCCGCGCCGCGGGGTGCCTTTTCCGGCGCTTGGCCTGGGCCGCACATTGCGAACAAAACCGGTTGCCCCGAGAGCGGCGGTGCTGGAGGCTGATGGGGTGCAAGAGATTACGTGCCCGTTTGCTGTGGGGCAGCTCTGGGAGCGTACCTGGCAACGTGCATGGTTTCTAGGTTTGGCCGCTGATGGCGCCCCATGCTGGCCTTTGGGGCTGGGGATGGCTGTGGGCGCTGCCCTGGTTACTCTTGGGGGCTGGGGAAGGCTAGGCAAGTGGTTGTTGGCGTGGCCTGCATGGGCAAGGGTGGAGATTCGAGAGCAGACCCAGCACCGCTGCCGCTGACTTTCTGTCCAACCTCACGTGTGCCCCCTGCCCAAGGTCTGCTCACGCGGCCTATCATAGCGGGGTGCTTGCTTGCTTGCTTGTGTGGGCTTAAAGTCTGGTAAAGCAAGAACTAGCTTGCAACATGGGCATTGCCTCTGTAACATTCATTCATTCATTCAGCACACAGCCCGGCCGCCTCTTGCTTGAGGGCGGCCCACTTTGGCCTGGGCAGCCCGGGCCGCCCCCCCCCCCGGGCGCATGTTCGGTGTTGGAGGGGTGTGCCCAGCGATAGGGGGCCCCTGAAGGCATGCGCCGAGGCCGGGAAGCGTGGT